ACTCAGATTTTTTTTAATTTTTATGTTCAGTTTGTTATCAATTTACTCGTAAAAAACTAAAAAATTAAAGACAAAATGCTTAGCAGTGACAATGTAAGTCTGTAGTAAAGTAAACAGATTGAAGCACACATTTACTTTATTTTCATGTTAATTTCATTTACTTCAGCTCGAATTTTCACAATATTTTTATTTATAATATTTTAATTTTTGATATTTTTAAGTAATAATTAAATTTGTCAACGAATTTAAAAAGTTTGTTTGCGAAATTGAAAATTTTTCGGCGAATATAAAATGTCAATAACTTCGTAACCATGGAAACAACGGTTACAATTTGCAAATCGAAGATAATGAATGTTACTACTCAGTTACTTAAATCGGTGATTTTTTGCGGTTGAAATAAACAATTTACAATGTTCAAATAACTTGTGTCCCGCTTTTTTTTAACATTATATAACATAATTAATCTATATACCAAAGGATATCTTGGGGTCCGGAAGTGAAATATTTATATTATGTGAAGACATTAACCGACCGCACTATATTAAATATTTATAAATTTATAAATTTTTTTATAGATTTATTTTATCTATTTATAATTTATAAATTTTGCAGCTAGTGAAGATAACGACAATCGTACTCTCGGTTAGTTCTAAGACAAATTATAAACAGTATTAGGTCAAAACTAAGTGTTATATGTAGAAATAATTATTGAAATAGCTATAAATATTTTTCCAATGACAATATTCGTAAAGCTGACGTCAACATTTTTACCCTGAGCAGGTCCTGCAACTTTCCACTCACTTTTAACGGTAGATTGTTTTACTTTTCACTCTTTTTCCTATTCACTACTTGGGATTGAATGGCTCGCAAACCAAATTTTATATTTTTCATTCAATGATATTGAAAATAAAATGATTCATTTGTATATAAATATTATATCAAATATTTTTTATTGCTATTTTGATTCTAATTTTCCAAATTAAAAAATTTTTTTATAAATCATTCGCTCCGCTAGTTTACTAGGCACATGAATGTTGGATTTAAAATAAAATAAATTTATGAGAACATGGCAGAGTTTCATATCTCGAATAATTTCATCTATTCAAAATTTTTCAAAAAATAATCGTTTTTTAGAAACATTACAACAAAACTGCTACTGAATAATGCATTTCGATATATAATTTAGCATGTGCTCAAAAATTGAATTAAATAATTAAAGACTTTTTGAAATTAAAATAAAACAGGAATAAAAGAATTTAAATAGTTTAAGAAAATAAACATTTTTCGATATCCAATCAATGTAAAACAAGGTTTTATGTATTGGCAGATAAAATAAATTATGATAACAATGGTGAATGTTATTTTAAGAAATGTCAGAAATCGTTGAATAAAATGCATCCATACATTTGTAACCTACCTTTGACCGAAATGGCAGCAGGTTGGCAGCATTCTTCCGCTTCACAGTGCTTAATTCACACTGTTTCTTCTGAACTAAGCAAGTCAGTCACGCCATCTTCAGCTTTCACACTACTGCAAAACGCATTTGCATCTGACTGCAGAGACTCTGCACTTTTATCTGGATGAGCCAACTTGAATGTCTCGTACAAATCAAAATATAACTATCTTTTATCAGCCATTTGTTTATTTTTTTAAACTGCGTGCATAGAATATCTAACATATTTGAAAATAGAAATGGTAGCAGTAGTGCTCTGCCTAAATTTAAAACATTATCAGACCTGGAACGCTGGAACGTATCGGCACTTCGGCAGCGGCCTAAAGACGTACGCATCAAGTTAACTCAAACCCAAACTCCCCCAGCGTGACATAATTATTGAATGGCCCAAAAGTAAAAATTAAAGTTAAAATTAGAGTTAGTATTAACAAACCGTCAGCATATTGGCCTTCCACAACCGTCTCACAGATGCTCATTTTGCATTGGAAGTAGCACTCTGGTCGATTGTGACGTGCCTCCTCGTCGCGTTGAGACATTGGAATGTAACGTTGAAAACACACTCCTGATTCGCCACTTTGTAACACGGTGCAATCAACGCAACTGATACATCAGTCAGCTTTACATTCAAAATATCTGGCGTTAAAATAATTACAAGTTTTGTTTAAACTTTGCTAAAATATAAATGATTTTTATAAGTTTATTTTTATTGTTGATTACATTAATTGATTGGTTGAATTATTTCATAAATTTGAGATTTCAAAAATCACGGTTGGGTAAAAAATTTCTTGATTCAATTTTAAGTTACGATAACGAAACCGATAAAATAATTGTTCAACTGATTGCAAATTTATTGAGGACAAAAACAAAATTAAATCTGTGCAACCAGATTAAATCGAACCGCATCCACTGGTAGCCAGAACTCTTCGATGCAAAACAGAAAGAAGACCCAATCAAACCCTCCACAACCAAAAAAACTATTGAAAGGGCTTGTTGTCGAACTTTCTTGAACCATTCTCCCAAAAGCAACATTATCGCAGACATGAATCGAATGTTGGCAATATTTTGGAAAATGCTAGTTTGTGTGGAAAATATAACTTGAAAGTAAGGGATCATTTGTTAAATTTGAATGTCTTTTTATTTTTGTATCTTTCGCTTTCAATCTCTCTTTCTCTTCTCTCTCTCTTTCTCTCTCTTCTATCTATCTATCTTTATGTGTATGTTACTGCGTATGTATGTATGTTTTATATATATATATATATATATATATATATATATATATATATATATATTATATAAATATATATGTGCGCAATATTTATAAAATCTACCTAATTTTTAGCTTGTGAAAGTTTACGAATGAATTTTAACAGTAATTTTGTAAGTATAATCCAATTTATTAAAATTAATTAGAGTCACCACTCAATCAACATATCAGAAAAAGACCATCATCAAAAGACACCTCTACCATATTAGCACTCAATAAAACTTTATCATTTACTCAATCCAGTTTTCCTTTTACTTATCTATCACCTCACTAAGTCATTATTTAGTCCGTCAATAAATTATTTTATTAATTTGCCTTTTAATACCATTAAATTATTTTATTTTCAATATTTTTCATGTTTTAACATTATTAGGTTCTGCGTTTTTTATTTATTTATTTATTCATTTATTTTTTCGTTACAATTTTATACTACTGCCTTGCATGCTGTAACATCTTTTGCGTCTGTCAGATCCTGATTTTTTAAAGAATAATAGAAGAAACAAAATGATCGTCGGTGTTCGTGGTGAAGCGTATAGGCCATATTTCGATTTTACTCATATTGGCGCCTATATATAAATAAATATATATACGTGAAGGATGCATGTGTCGTCATCGCCTACGATTGGCCATGTGAAGCAAAGCGAAAACGATACAATAATTTCCGTTACTGAGCACCAGATGTCTGGTACCCGCCCAAGGAGTCGCCCAAAAAGTCCTGGACGCAGACCATACTCGAGTATTTGAAGGCCCTTGGTTTCAAGGATGTATATGCAGAAGATGATAAGAATAAAATAAAGTACAACACATAACGGATAGAGACTATAAACAAGAATTGATTGATTTGTGCGTGTGTCTCAATTAATCTTAATTGTTATAAGAACTTTTAAAGGTTTACAATATTTAATATTGATAATTTAGATATTGATAAACTTAATAACGAACACATGATGATTGTTGAAGAAACAAAGATTTCCATCCGAGCCAACTTGCTTTTTAGGCTGGAAAATATTTGTTCAAATAATGTCCTCTCTATGACATTATTGAAATTAATTATGACAAATAATGTCTTCTTTTGAAGACTGCCGTATTGATTTGCGAAAATATAATTTTGCTATGGACTATAAGGGGTACTTCACATATCACATCTGAGAAGAAGGCGCTTGGCTACGAGTGTATATTTGAGTGTATCCTCAGGCGGGGTGTTTGCACTGTGTTGTCTGCGAGGTAGGTGTATGCAATTTTCCGACGTGTTGTCTTGTTTTGCACTACATCCATGTGTTTCAGTTGTATACGCGTGCGCACATGCAGCATACGATTTGATTATAAAAATTTTTTCCTAATTGGAATTGAATGGTTTTCATTGGTTGCTTAACTTGATTTCAAGCCTGTCACTAACTGTTCACGTACACGTTTTCAAGAGCAAGCACAACTTTGGAAGCTGTAGCTAAAATTAAAAATAGCTTGAAGTTATGCGGACAAAGATAGAAGTTAAAACGCATGTGTATTGTTATTTGCAAGCACATAAATATCAATTAATTACAAATACAAATAGGTAAATATAAATAGATGATGCAGCAATGACTTTATTTAATTAGTTTAAACGCAACGTGCTTAAATAAAAAAACAATTGATTCACGATAAATTATTATTTTGTGTCATGTTTATCGTTTATTTATTTCCTAAAAAGAGTTGTGTTATACAACTTCATATAACTTGTAATCATTTACGTCTGTGCTATGGTCAAACTACATGCGTTGTGTAGTGTAAACAAACACTTTTTTTATTGAAATTTTTTCAAACTCGAGCGTGATCAACGTTGTTTCCTCACGGAGAGTATTTCAGTCAGACAGTAAAAAATTACATTTTTGCATTTAAATTTATTTCATCTGTCGTTCTGTCGAGAAAGGCAATTTGAATTTTCCAATCACGATAAAAATTAAATTATGCCTTGTAAATATTATTGTAACTTTTGACCTTCGTAACTACCAACACAGATGTTATAACTTCAAAGATCTTTATATTTCCAACACCAATGTTGTAGCTTCCAACGAACGTCAAGTGTTCGTTATTCCGTAGGTTCAAGATTTCCTTTGTTGAATGTTTATTCGAATGCCAACAGTAATGGAAGCAATAAACTAATCCAAGTAACTACATAAATCCCATTTACGACTACGTTTCAAACTTCGCTGAAAGCCTGACTGAAAATCTGTCTTTGCGCGATCTTGTATAGAGTACTCTTTACGATCCTTCACAATCCAAAGATTACAAATATAGCAAAGATAACAATAATTAAGATAACAAATAATATAACGCGATTTGATCATTCCAGCGGTTATAACAGTATTTTCAACTACTACTTTCTTATAATATTCGAACTTTCAATTCCAGAGATAAAATGTTAATACTGAGTTTGAAGAGTTTAGAATTTTTTTCGATTGGCAGTTGAAGTTGAAATGAAAAATAAAGATTTAAAGTCCTCGTTGTTCGATTGCTTGTTTGATTTACGTTGTTGTTTTTGTTGTTGTTGTTATTTTCGCTATTAATTGTTACTATCACTCTCACTGCCATCAACATTGTTATTGTTGTTCTTTTCTTTTATAATTTTTGCCATTATTACTGTCACCATTGTTATTGTTATTAATCGACTTGTCGTCTGCAGTCAGTCTTTTCCTTAAAATTCATTTAAATTTATGTGTTTACACAGCAATGTCTATAATAATAATAATAATAAATAATAATACAAATAATAATAATACATAAATAATTCCAAAATGTTACATTTAGTAAATTTACTGATGTTTATTGCGCTTGAGTTTTTTTCAATATAATTTAATGTGCTGTCAATCGTTCAATCGTTCATTCGTTCATTTGTTCATTCATTCATTCATTCATTCATTCATTCATTCATTCATTCATTCATTTCTTCGTTCATTCGTTCATTCATTCATTCATTTATTCGTTCATTCATTCATTCATTTATTCGTTCGTTCTTCCATTCATTCATTCATTCATTCATTCATTCATTCATTCATTCATTCATTCATTCATTCATTCATTCATTCATTCATTCATTCATTCATTCATTCATTCATTCATTTATTCGTTCATTCGTTCATTCATTCATTTATTCGTTCGTTCATTTTTTCATTCATTCATTCATTCGTTCGTTCGTTCGTTCTTCCATTCATTCATTCATTCATTCATTCATTCATTCATTCATTCATTTATTCATTTATTCATTCATTCATTCATTCATTCATTCATTCGTTCGTTCATTCATTCCTTCGTTCGTTCATTCATTCATTTTTCGTTTCATTTGTCCTTTGTTTCACCAAAATAATTAATTGCTCATGCATTTATCTTTCGATTCTTCATTATTTTTTATTGTTCTCCCTTTTTTTTATCATACTTATAACTAACAAATCGACCCTACAATTCATAGCATCAGTGCAAAGCTAGGGAATATTCCAACCTTGTTAATGAAAGATTGCAGCTTCGGCGGTTCAAACTGACGCAGGGCTGTGTGGTTTTTGCATGTTTCTGCACAGCCGTGCAGCACATACACACTGCCCAGTACCCATTGTTGTCACTTGGACAATTAAAACCTTGTTATTGTTATTTCTTTCTGTACTATTATTATTATTATATACTTTTGGCGAAGTCAGTCATGACCTTATTTCAGCTTCTCTAAATTACCATCATATACCACCAGCTGTAAGGGTTCGTTCTTTAACTTTTCTTATTATTATTTCAACCTCGTAACAAGAACAAGTATGTTGTAACAATCTCTCTATTACAAAGTGAAACACTGTTTATAATGCCCAGCAAGTAATAATAATTACAACTGACGTAAAGAGTCAATATCTATAATTAAATTAATTAAACAACGTTATAAGTAAATATCTTTAAATAATTAAATATATAAATATCTATATTTCACAAATCGTCGGTTCACGAATCCACCACTTCAACTTCCGAGACTCCACGATAACTCTCGCGACGACAACAATTCCTGAACTGAAATTCTGAGCCTCTTGACGGGACCTTCCCAGCGCTTTTATAGACGTTTGGCCGCTATCACTCCCATGTTCAGAAATTGCGACAAGTTATTAATAACTCACGCAAACTGAGTTATTAATAATTATTTGTCCTTGAAGAACAGTTCAATATTTTTAACCAACTTTTTTTTAAACGTTTTTTAACTTGAAATCACCACGGCCACGAGATATTAATTACTTGTTTACTGGTTATCCATTTAAATCGTATAGCGCTACACTGAACCCTGACAACCAGCGATAACCAATTTAATAAAATTTATATACACAGATTATTCGATATCGGTCTCTGGATGCAAAAAGCTAACTCCTCTGATCCCGGTCAAGCGTGGTGTACTACAAGGTGATCCTGCGTCACCGTTGCTGTTCAACTTTTGCTTTAATCCACTCATGAAATTGTTAGAGGGCAGGGAATACCAGCAATGCGGTTACATTTGGGGTCCTTCAGCTTATTTAAAATCAAGGGCATGGTTCCAATTTGCTGATGACTCAGCATTTATCATCACTAAGCTCCCAAGGAATAGTGTTGAAGACAGTGAGGGAAAACATCAAATCAGATCAAATAGTTCGCTGGTCAAAGTCTACGGCCACACTGTCAGAGGTTATTTACAAGTTTATTAGGAAAAGTATCATTCAACAACTTCCAACAAACTCCAACCAAGCAAGATGCGGCAAAACGTCTAAACCACAATGTCCACTATGTGACGCTTATCAAACAAACAAGCATGTTTTGTCCAATTGTAGCTCCGTTGCAGCTTTGAAAAGTTATTCAGATCGTCACAACAAAGTTCTCTCAATAGTTTTAGAAAATATTAAAAAATGCGCAAGTTTGGAAGTCTCGTTGTTTGCCGATCTGGAGTGTGAAGATTTTCGTCCAGTATCAACGCTGTTTAAATCTCTGCGTCCTGATATAGCACTGGTCTGCGACGACACGATCGAGATTTTAAAACTAACGATATGCCACGAAACAAATTTTAAAAAATCTAAAGAATACAAAATTGAAAAGTACTCTCAAGCCATTCAACTTAATTTAAAGAGTGAAAACAATAATTTTAAACTTTTAATTAAAACATTTGAAATTTCTACAATGGGTTTTTAAAATACTTTTAATTTATTGCTGGTCAACTTCATTTGGTCGAACGATTTTAGAAACAATTTAATAAAGTCTTTGTTATCATCATCTTACTCAATATATTGCGATAGGAATAATGAATGAACCTTATTTTTATTGGCTATAATCCTCTATTTGTACTCATTTTTGTTGAGTGATGAGCAAATTAGACTAACAGCTTATTAATTTAAATACTTTATTATATTAAACATTATTTTATATCTATCTTTATATTCATTTTGTGATATTTGATAAAATAAAAGCTGTGTTCCCATTATTATTATTATTATTATTATTATTATTATTATCATTATTATTATTATTATATTTATTATTATTATTACTACTATAAACGAGGAACTTTGTGGGACTGTTTGAGGACCTCGCAGCGCATGTATCGAACAAGGCGTGACCCATCGACATGGAAGTAAGCTAATAAGGAGGGCTGCATCTATCGTCGTAATTGCCACATCGTAAGACCTTTAAAACCTTTAAAACCTATAAGACCTTTAAAACCTTTTGGGATGCGGTTTCCAATGAATTGCAGAAGATTGTTGCTTTGTTTGTCCATTCTGTACGGTATATTTTCCAGATTACAAATAGTTTAAAGTTAAATGAAAACTAATAAACAAATAATGAAAATGTTAATAATATAAATAATAATATTAACTCTGATTTTACATTTACATTTTACGTACTAATACTAGCCAACCAAGCCTCCTCTTAACACATTTTGAAGATAATTATGAAAACACAAATTAAGATTAGAAGCAGAAAGCTTTATCAACTGGGTAGTCACCATCAGTGTATATAGTTGAGGTGTCAGGTCATGCTGCTGTTGCACTAACCGACCGGCTTCGAATGCAAGGAAAACCGCCTATTGCATGCGATGTTGTGTGTGCTTGTGTGTGCCTGCGTGTATGTGTGTGTTCATGAAGAGTGATTTATGATTTATATAGCAATACATTAGTGCCTCTAATGTAAGTTCTCACTATATTAATACACCGAATGTGTATGTTTTTGTATATGTGTATGTATGTATGTGTGTGTGTGTGTAAATGTGTGTTAAGAATGTGTGTGTGTGTGAGTGTGTGTATGTATGTTTGTATGTGTTTGCGTGTATGTGTGTGAATGTGTGTATAAATGAGTGTGTATGAATGTGTGTGTATGTGTGTGTATGTGTATATAAATGTGTTTATGTGTGTGTGTATGTGTGTATGTATGTATGTGTATGTGTGTATGTGTATGTATGAATGTTTGTGTGTATGTGTGTGTTTGTGTGTATAAATGTGTGTGTGTATGAATGTGTGTGTGTATGTGTATATGTCTATGTGTGTATATCTGTGTGTATGTTTGTGTGTGTGTGTATGTGAGTGTATGTATTGTGTGTATGCGATTGTGTGTAAGTGTGTGTGTATGAATATGTGTGTGTGTATGTGTGTATGTATGTTTGTATGTCTTTACGATACGATACGATACGATACGATACATTTTATTTGTCTCCAAAACAAAGGAAAAAAGAAGACAAGGATGACCATAAAAAGTTAACAAGTAACCTATCAAGTATAGCCACCTTACACATATCATAATTGAAAAGAAAATAAAATTAATTTCTATAAAAAAAAATTGTATGAGTGTGAATGTGTGTGAATGTGTGTGAATGTGTGTACAAATGTGTGTGTATGAATGTGTGTGTGTGTGTGTGTGTAAATGTGTGTATGTATGTGATGTGTGAATGTATGTGTGAGTATGTGTTTGTGTGTATGTGTATGTATGAATATTTGTGCGTATGTGTGTGTATGTGTGTATAAATGTGTGTGTATCAATGTGTGTGTGTGTATGTGTGTGTATGTGTATCAATGTGTGTATCTATGTGTGTATGTGTATATGTGTTTAATAATAATAATAATAATAATAACTCTATTAACAATGATGTTTGAATGTTTGATTGTTTGGGTTGTGTTTACGAATGTATTGGCGGCTATAATTGGTTTCTAGCTATCATTAAATACATACATACATACATACATACATACATACATACATACATACATACATACATACATACATACATACATACATACATACATACATACATACATACATACATACATACATACATACATACATTCATACATACATACATACATACATACATACATACATACATACATACATACATACATACATACATACATACATACATGCATGCATCACGGGGTGCCACAAGGATCCATACTAGGACCCCTTCTATTTTCTATCTACATAAATGACCTCTGCAATGTTTCGCCCTCAACCAAATGCGTACTGTTCGCAGACGACACCAACCTTCTTTTTACTTCCAACAACCTACCAGATTGCTCTGAACATATCAATCTTGAACTCCAAAAATACTCTAACTGGTTATCCAATAACAAACTAATCATAAATTATTCGAAATGTGCATACATTATTTTTGGCCCAAAAATACTCACCAACCAAGTTCCTAACCTAAACCTATTAGTTAATGGTGTTCCTATAAGCCGCACCCTGTCTACAAAATTTCTTGGAATGACCATCACAGAAAATCTTTCATGGAATTCTCACCTACAAACTACCTCAGACAAAATTAACAAACTCACAGGCATCTTCTACAAAATGAAATATAAACTCTCTCTTTCTGCTCTTCGCACGCTTTATTACACATTCATCTACCCTTATCTAACCTACTGCATCACACTATGGGGAAATAGTCCAAAAAGCCACCTGAATAACCTAATACTTTCCCAAAAAAGATCAATACGTTTAATTTTTAACCTCAAACCCGATTCTCATACTAAACCCTTCTTCCTAGCAAAAAAAATTTTACCAGTTAACTTCATCTGTCTTTACTACTTTGCTTTATTCGTTTTTAAATTTATCAACAATCTTCTCCCACCTCACTTTATCAACTTCTACACATTAAGTAACTCCGTTCAATCTACAACCACTAGACACACCCCTCTCTTCTATATCTACAAAACTCGCCTCAAATTAATCCAGACAAGCATAAAAATAACAGGTCCTAAAATGTGGACAGAACTTGTACCTCCCCATCTAAGAGCCATCATAAACCTACAACATTTCAAGCCAAAATTCCGTGCTTTTTTATTGACACTGGATCTCGACTCCCCCGCCTAATATTAACAAATGATGCGGATGAATGGTCTTTATGAATGGTTAAACATTTATGTGTTTATATATGTACTGAGCGAACATTTACATAGTTGTATGTCTATATATGTATGACACGAACATTTACTTATTTATCTTCAATTATCTTTCTGCTTCAGTTATTTTCCTTATTTTATTTCATTAACTATTCATGTATCTACCTGCGGTGGCCACCACAAGACAAACAGTCTTATTCGGTCTCCGCATATTCAACTTCATAACTTTTATTCACTTATTTGATATGTTGTTGATTATGAATAAAACTTTGAAAATGAAAAAATGAAATGAAAAAATGAAATACATACATACATATATACATACATACATACATACATACATACATACATACATACATACATACATACATACATACATACATACATACATACATACATACATACATACATACATACATACATACATACATACATACATACATACATACATACATACATACATACATACATACATACATACATACATACATACAAATAAATAAACATACATACATACATACATACATACATACATACATACATACATACATACAATAGACAAGTCAGTCTATTGGTTAAAAAATGTACGTTCCAACTACGTAAATTACGTCAAGTCACAAAATCGGTAGGTAGAGATACAATGACTCTATTAGTACATGCTTTTGTCAACTCTAGATTGGATTATTGTAACAGTCTTTTATATGGCATAGCTGATAAACTGTTGTCTAAACTTCAGATGGTTCAGAATCAGGCTGCTAGAATGATATATCGCAAATTAAAATTTGATCATGCATCACCAATTCTAAAGGAGTTGCATTGGCTGCGTGTTAAACAAAGAATCATGTTCAAGTTGGGTGTAATGGTATTTAAAAGTTTAAATGGTCTGGTTCCGAAATATTTAGAAGATAAGTGTATTCGAGTTTCATCTATGTCATCACATGGGCGTCTAAGGTCTGCTGATTCAAACACGCTGTATGTTAGAGATCAGAATCTGAAAACAGCAGATAGAGATTTTGCAGTTGCTGGGCCTATTTTTTGGAACAGCCTACCTATCGAACTACGTATATCCGGGTTATCATTAGCCGAGTTTAGAAAACGTCTAAAGACATACCTATTTGGTAACTCCTAGTGATCTCAACCGATGATGGCTTCGCTTTCAACATGCTTCATACGAGGAGAGCGCTGATGAGAATTCAAACAAAGCAGGATGGCCAAAATAAATTTATATAATTTATATAAAATTTACCTAGTAATCTAGTTTGGCCACCTAAGCAGAAATGTCCTAAGTTAAAACATAAATTTTCAGCAGCGTCATGTTAGTTTGCTTTTGTCTGACGTCACAGATTGCTCAAATTTAGTTGATTGAGTAGGCTTTTAGTATTTGTTGAATGAGGATGCAGTTTGCTTGATAACTATTTGTGGACGAAAATTGCAACTAAATATTCATGCAGGTTATTAAATTTTAAATTATTTGGATTTTAATTGGGTTTTTTCTTTTTTGGTTAAGTTAATGCCCACATCAGGTTGTAACGGTTAATAATTGGTTGTGAGGCTTGTTGATTATTGCGTTGAATTTTTGTACATAACTAGTAACTTGTGTGGATAAATCCTAAAAATCGTCATTTGAACTAGTATTACTTCTTTTTGGTCATCTATTTATTTATTGATTTTGTGTTAAATATATGTGTGTTCTGACATTTAACTGAGTGACAATCAACTTTCTTTCTTTTGTCTTATTTATTTTTTCTTGCACTTATTGTAGGCGCTTTTGAGATTTTATTAAAAAGTGATTTATAAATTTTCATTTAATAATAATAATGCACATATACATATGAAACAAAACGAAACAAAATTTTATTTGCTTCTCAAATTGAAAATTAAAAGAAAAAAAGGTATTTGTTTAAATGGGTTAAGCAAATGCATGGAACAAATGGTATTTTAAAAAACGTCAACTATTGGGTTGTATACGCTGATTTGGAATAAAGACAAAATTTTCCAAAGTACATCAAAAAAACAAGCATGAGACCTGACATGGTGGTGGCATCTGAAAATACGGATTCAGTCATCTTTATTGAACTAATTGTGTTGTACGAAGATAACACGCTCAGTAGCCACGATTTAAAAACTGCAAAGTACAGACAGCTGATTCAAGATTTAAACAGGAAAAGATACAAGACCAGGTTTTACGCTGTTGAAATTGGTGCATAAGGAAGAGTGGGAGCGTCGATGTATACACTTTTCAAAAAGGCGGGACTGTCAAGCGTACAGCATGCATGAAGAAAGTTATTAGTAGCGCAGAGCAAGCTTCGTATTGGTTGTGGCTGAACAGAAATAAAATAGTGTCTGCTAAATTAGCAAGCCATAGCTAGAGTAATACGACTTTGCATTTAAATATAAAGCTAAATTTTGGTATAAATAGCAGATCGACGCCGCTTGAAAATCAACAGTCGTCGAGTAGCGTTTGAGTGATTTAGGATTGTGACCTGGTTTCTCGAGAATGTAATGAGGTTGTTAAGGGCCGAAACATTTGTCGACGGGAATTCCTTCTCTAAAAACTTTTCGATGATTTGGCTCAACTAAGTTTTTACATACATTTTGTGGCTACAGCCAAGGACACTCGTAAAAAGCCAAGTGACGCTAGGAAATACTGGTTACTTCTTGAAGGACAGATGGCAAGTCGGAAAGACTATTAGGATTACATATGGGTTGGCTGCCCAGTGATCTACTCTACTAGCTTTGACAACCAAAAATAAATGCACCCAGAGCTTCAACCGAAAGGAGGAGGAGAATGATGAGCTCAAGACGCTTCAACAGGACATACTACAGCACAAAGATTGAAAGTACATCAAACCAAGATGGGATGTTTGCTATGTCGGAAATCGCAACGCGTGAATCCATCCGGATTTGGTAAGACCGCGAAAAATGCTCACCCGGAGGACGACCACAGTGTAAGCGGTATCCCTGTGACCGACTGCAATATTCCTATTTGGAAACGTGTAAAATTATCTCCAGCTTCTGATAACAATTCATGGTCGAAGCTAGTTGTTAATTTATTTATTGAACTAAAATTCATTAACACCAGTGGTAACGTACAATGTTTCACAAATGTCATCTATAAAAAATGTGTAGCAACCTTTGAGTACAAAGGAAAGGTTAAAAAACCTGCTGTAAAAAAATCAAGGAGACAAAAAAAGATAGGGATCCTAAAAAGGAAAAAAGATCGATTAAGGAACCAACGGAAGATTGCGGCCGTAGATGAACGAGTTGGCGTGGACATACTCTGGAACAAAGTTAGAACAAGATAAGCATGTTTGCGCAAAGCCGAAAGGATTAGTCAAAAAACGTCAAAAGAAGAAAATAAGTCAAAAATTTATTCCAAATCCATATTGTTTTGAGAAAAAGCTGTTTGATCCACCCAAATCCGGCAGTCTAACAGTTTGCAAAGATGATCTGAAAAAACACCCCAAACGAACGTAGGCAATCGAGGAAAACAACTAAAAGAAAATGATCTGATGATTGACAAAAAAAACCCAAAGCATGTTTTTCAACAAAATCCTCCTGCTTTGTGTGAATTGAAAAAGATTTCGAGCAGTCGAAAAACTGTTCTTCGTAAGGAGGTTGTTAAGGGCCGAAGCATTTGTCGACGGCAATTTCTCCTCTGAGGACTTCTCGATGGTTTGGCTCAACTAAGTTCATACATACATACATACTTACATACATACATGCGTACGTACATACATACGTACATTCATGCATACATATACATACTAAATAACATACATATATACATAGCTTGGACATCTATATAATATAGTTTACTATATAGAAGTCTATGATACATACTATACATATATACATACATACAAACAAACAAACATAAATTCATACATTCATACGTACATTCATACGTACACACGTACGTACATATATACATATACATTAATTGTCTTATATCCTTATGTCAATCGAAATTGAAATTTTTATGTTTGTCTTTGGTTAATTTGCCAATTAATTTATTGTTGAGCAGTTTATTAGCTGATTTTATAATCAATGTCTACTGATGAAATAAAGTAAAAACGCAAATATGTAAATAATGTGCATGGATGGCAACGTCTACAAAATTTAATGATGTCATACAAGAGATGGGCATGGGAACGGGAATCACGGAAAGTCCATGGAGTTTCTGTGAGAATTATTGAAACTTAATTTTCGAAAATTGGATTTTATGTTGTTCAGTCAACAACCTAACGTATTGCTAAATAACATGCGACGGTCTACAATGAACGGGTAAAAATTTAATGGCCTATATCAAATATATACGCCTAAGTTATTTTTAGTCAACTAAACAATCAATCAGTCAGTCACGTGTAGCTTGAACATTCCTTCATGCTGTTCAAAAGACAAATCTATATAACCGTATATAACACTGTATGACTATCTATATTCAATAACTCTACATAACTATATATAACTCAATATAACCGTATATAACACTATATGACTATCTATATTCAATAACTCTACATAACTATATATAAATCTATATAAACGTATATATCACTAGATATAATCAATAACTCTACAAAACTATATATAAATCTATATAAACGTATGTATCACTATATAACTGTTCGAGAAGCTGCCGGTCAAAAAAGTGAACCGTATATATCACTATATAACTACATATAATCAATAACACTATATAATTATATATAAATTATATAACTATATATAACTATATATAATCAATAACTCTACATAACTATTTATAATTCTATATGACCGTATATATCACTATATAACTATATATAATTAATAATTCTACATAAATATATATATAAATCTATATAACCGTATATAACACTATAAAGACTATATATATTCAATAACTCTATATAACTATGTAGAAATCTATATAACCGTATATAACACTGTATGACTATCTATATTCAATAACTCTACATAACTATATATAAATCTATATAACCGTATATAACACTATATGACAATCTATTTTCAATAACTCTACATAACTATATATAAATCTATATAAACGTATATATCACTAAACATAATCAATAACTCTACAAAACTATATATAAATCTATATAACCGTACGTATCACTATATAACTATATATAATCAATAACTCTACATAACTATATATAAATCTATATAACCGTATATATCACTATATAACTACATATAATCAATAACTCTACATAACTATATATAAATCTATATAACCGTATATATAACTATATATAATCAATAACTCTACATAACTATATATAAATTTATATAACCGTATATATCACTATATAACTACATATCATCAATAAAACTATATAACTATATATAAATCTATATAACCGTATATAACACTATATGACTATATATATTCAATAACTCTACATAACTATGTACAAATCTATATAACATCTTTATCCACTGCAAAGATACATTTGTATCTATTGCAGTGGTAAATTTATATATATTGCAAATTTATGATTTCATCTACTGCTGACATATATTTGTATCTACCGTAAAAAAATACAAATTTATTCATTGCAGAGACATTTGTAACTATTGCAGAGATTTTTTTTCTGATCTTTGCAGATTTTAAAACTTTTTTTCGGTACACAATAACAGGCTCGTTACGATCACAAATACCATTTTACTGCGGCCTAGGCACATTCAAGTAAACAAGCACCAAACAAACGTGCAAACGGATAAACGAACAAACGAACGAACAAACGAACGAATGAACAGAAAAAAGAAAAAAAAAACAGGCACGCATATTTGTATTTGAAAGAGATTTCTTCAGACCTCAGAATTCAAACAAAAGAGATCGCTCTCAGATCTCTTTTGTTTGAAAAAAGAGATCGCTCTCAGATCTCTTTTGTTTGAATTTTTAACATCAAGATATATAGATTTCTGTCAAACCTCCTTTGTTTGAATCTTTAACGTCAAGATGTGTATTTATTATTATTCTTTAAAAATCAGAATTCGTCAAACGCAGAAACTATTAAAATACAGCATGCAAGGCAATAGTATAAAACGGCAACGAAAAATAAAGGAGAAAAAATGTTTAAACATGAAAAGTATGGAAAATAAAATAAAGTAATTGTTTAAAAAGGCAAAGAAATAAAATAATTTATTAATAGACTAGTTAATGACATAGTAAGTTAAGTATTCGATAAGAAAAAAAATACACAAAATTTCATATATATATATATATATATATATATATATATATATATATATAAGATATATATATATATATATATATATAATATATATATATTATTTAATTATTATTATTTAATGCATTTGTATAGCGCCTAATAAATGAAATCTCACAGGCACTCTCAAAATCCAGTAACAATAAATTAGAGAAATGATTGTCAAAAGTCAACAGTTTATTCACAATGTACAAGTACTGAATGGTTGTTAATGCCGGGGGTGGTGATGGGGATAAGCTCCCATCATCTATCAAATGCTCCCATATGGCAAGCGTCTCAAAGAGCCTCTGACAACCAAGCCCAATTCCTGGCCTTCACGCGGCAGAACTGTTTAAACTAACAGGAGAAGGGGCAAAGGCGAATAACTGGCGCCATAACCAGTTGCTTCGGGCAGGTGAGCTCGTTAGCCTTGGTCGGCTATTTACCTAGGAGAAGGAAAACTCTGACTTCAAACCTCCGCTGCCTTGCGGCATATCTGTTTATGGGAAAGGCTATGGGAGCAAATCCAGACAGAAAACCACAATCCACCACCTGAGTTGCGGTCCAATAATATCAGGTGCCAGTCCAAAGTCCGGATAGAAAGGAATGGTTGACAGGAGCTTGCTACACTTTCGTAAAAACGCTAATAACACGATGGTAGTCCAAAAAAAGTATGCACATACCGGCTCGGATGTCGCCCGGGTGAACAAGGTCCGCGCTGCAGCTTTGGGTACTAGAGGCTGCAGTGTAAAGTATGCTACCGAGTCCCAAAAAGATAGACTGAAGATGGGGTTGACAGTTAGAGTTTGGAATGTCAGGTCATTGTGGCAGACAGGGGCTTACGCGTTGATGGAGAAAGAACTTGAACGATTCAGATATGATGTGGTTGGTCTGTGTGAGATCCGATGGACAGGAGGTGGAGAAATGGAAGGTGGGAAGATATTATGGTCTGGAACAGAGAGGGAGCACGTCTATGGAGTTGGAATGGTTATTGGCGAAAAAGCAAAAAAAGCACTGTTGGAGTACAATCCAGTGAATGAAAGAATGATGTATGCGAGGTTTAAGGGATACCCGAGAGACATTGATGTGGTAGTGGCCTTTGCTCCAACAATGGATCACTCGGATGCAAAAATCGAGGCATTCTACGATCAACTGGAGCAAACATTGAATGTACTGCCAAAGAAAGATGTTAAGATTATCACCGGAGATTGAAACGCAAAGATCGGAAGAGAAAATATTGGTTTTGAAGAAGTCATGGGAAAATACGGTATAGGAAACAAAAATAATAGAGGAGAAAGACTGCTGGAATTTGTAAAGGACCAAAAAATGTATATAACAAATACAAAAACACAAAATACCAAAAAATGGACATGGGAATCACCAGATGGAAAAACAACGAACATGATAGATTTGATTTTGATAGAACAGAAATGGATGAAATTTGTTACTCAGTGCCGTGCTTTTCCAAGTGCAGAGATTGGATCAGATCATCGTCTAGTGTTATGCAACGTCAAGATGAAAATAACGAAGAGACTAAAGTCAGGCAAAAAAATCAAAAGAGTGAAATATAGCACAGAAATGATAAAAGAGAAGTTAAAAGACATCAGAAATGTAATAGAAAACAAATTGGATACAAAAACAAAGTACGATATGAAAACAAGAGTCAATAACTTGGAGAAAGTGCTTAAGACTGCAGCCGAAAAATGCGAAGAAGGGAAAAACATAATAAAACCCTGGATAAGTGATGAAACTTGGAAACTCGTAGAGGAAAGAAGACAGCTGAAAGCAACAAAAAGACAAAACAACGAAAATGAGATGAAATATAAACAACTGTGTTGCAAAATAAAGAAAAGTGCCAGAGCAGATAAAAGAAGATGGATAAATGATAGATGCGAAAGGGTAGAAGCACTAGCTGGACAAAACAAAACAAGAGAGGCGTATCAGCTAGTCAGACAGTTAAAATGAAAACTGAAGAATACGTCAAGGATTATTAAAGACAAGGATGGAAATGTTCTAACTGAAGGCCAACAAATCAAAGATAGATGGTCGGAATATATCAAGGACCTGTTCACAGATAAAAACACGTATACAAAGGAGGTGTTACAGGCTTTAAAAGAAAAGTAGTCAATGAGGAAGAAACGGAAATAACATTGGAGGAAGTAATAAAAGCAATGAAGAAAATGAGGAACAACAAGAGCACAGGGAGAGACGGAATTCCCATAGAGCTGATCAAAGCGGCAGGACCAATTGTATGTAATGAGATTCACAAAATCTGCCAAAAAATCTGAGACAGTGGAAAATGGCCAGAAGATTGGTGTAAATCAATCTTGATCATGTTGCAAAAAAAAGGAGACCTGAAAGACTGCAACAACTACAGATCAATAGCACTGATCCATCATATGTGCAAGATCATGCTGACGATCTTGAAAGAACGATTGGAGAAAGACATAAAGCAGCATTTAGGAGAGGAGCAGGCAGGTTTCAGAAAGGACAGAAGTACAGTCCAGCAAATCTTGATGTTGAGACTATTGTTGGAAGATGCAGGAAGCAGAGGTCAAACAACTTTTCATTGTTTTGTGGATTTTAAGAAGGCGTTTGATTCAGTCTGGCACGAAGGTTTGTGGGCAACTTTGGAAAATATGAGAGTGTCAACAAAAATGGTAAGGGTGCTGAAAGGGCTTTATGAGGAGTCAACAATGGCGGTAAAGGTAGGTACAGAGTTGGGAGAATGGATCAAAGCGAGCATAGGAAGTAGACAAGGAGATCCAATATCACCATTACTGTTCTTAGCACTGTTGGAAAGAGCCTTGGAAAAAATGGAGAATGCAGATATTGAAGGAATCGACATTGGAGGCAGAGTGATAAGGGACCTCAGGTTTGCAGATGATATAGATCTGCTAGCATCTAGTGCAGAGGGTCTACAGAAACTGATCGAGTTGACGTATGATGGTGGAAGTAACCATGGACTACACATCAACAGCAGTAAGACAAAGATAATGATTTCGGAAGCAGGTGGAAACAATGATGAATTCCAGATAGGAGCAGAAAAGCTCGAACAAGTGAAACAATTTATATATCTCGGCAGCCTCATAACTGATGACAATAATTGTTCGAAAAAAATTGATAGAAGAATAGCAATCGCGAGAGGAATGTTTGCATCTTTGAAAGTAATATTGAAAAACGGTAATGTATCTACAAAAACAAAATTAAAGATCGTAGAAGCGTGTGTGTTTTCTACATTGATGTATGTATGTGAGGCTTGGACGTTGAAGAAAAGAGACAAAGACAAACTGGAAGCATTCGAGATGCATTGTTATAGAAAGTTGCTGGGAATCAGTTGGAGACAAAAGATAAGAAACGATGTCATAAGAAAACAACTTGGAAGACAAAAATCTGTGTATGAAAGTGTCAAGGAAAGAAAGCTGGGTATCTTTGGGCACATCTGCAGAATGACAGACGACAGACTGATCAAAAAAGTACTGATGAGAAAGAGGGACTGGAAGAAAAAAGTTGGAAGACCTGTGAGGAAGTGGATGGATGATATAACGGAATGGACGGGGGTTGGAACATTGGGCTCAATGAAGATGGCGAGGGAAAGAAAAGGATTTTGGAGAGATAGAAGAATACCATTGGCCTCAACGGTCCCTTAAGGGATTACAGAGGATCATTGAATGAATGAATGAAACAAGTACATTAAACAAAAATACAATGTATACTTGCATAATATAAAAAAAGCGGGTAAATAAAAAAAATTAAGTCAAACTAACAAATCATAAATTTAAAGTTTGCAAATAAAACATGACACTAGTTCCATATCATCGTTTCACATCAGAACATGTCCTGACATTGACATCGGCATTTCTGGTGCTGGCACTTTTGCTGTTGTTATTGAAAACCCAATTCCTAACCTGAATATAATCAAGAACTTGATCTTTCAACTATTTCCGCATACTTCTCATCTACACACAACCGGAATGACGTAGAAGGGTGGCTAAAAATTTGTCTGACATTGCTGAAGAAGGTAACAATGATGATGGAAATTTTATAACAGTCAGACGTAAGGAAAGAAGAAACATTTTACTATCAACTAATACAAGTCCATGTTGTCATGCAATATCAAAGACCACTGTTGAACCTCATAGGCCTACGCAACATAAAATATCAGCTAGTAAAGTTGTATATCGGAAAAAATTTTTATCACATTGGTAATGTTTCAAAGACTTGTGTATCCAATGTTGTTGACCACCTTGAGTCAATTGATGTTAAAGTTTTGTCTTGCTACCCTGTATTCAAGAGGAGAGATGACAAAGTAAAACTTAATGGAACCTAACAACGTTGTTAGCCGTGACATGACACAAGTTTTTAATAAATATGAATTGCAACAATTACATCGTGTTGATTCAATTTCAAAGAAATTTATAAATGCAAAATGAGCAAACATATTCAACGAAATTTGTATATATATATATATATATATATAATATATTATATTATATATATATATATTAAATATTTTTAAAGGCTGGAAGGGGACCATAATTGTTGCAATTTTTGATTTTACGCGTCATCAGCGCTTATATATGAGCATTTCAAGGTTTTACAATTATCTTTCTGTGTATGCTAGAATAAAAGCACTTCTCATCTATAGAGTATTGTTAAGCTCAATCGTAAACTTTCAAAAGCTAACAGTTCTGTAGATTTTATCAAATATTGCATTATATATTGTTATAATTCTCGCGATGGGTTCAAATCCTCGATTGAATAAAATATTCCAAACAGTTATTAAACTTTATTTACAGAAGAAATCAACTATTATTAGTTATTAAACTTTATTAACAGAAGAAATCAACTAATCGTTTATTTCCAGTAAATTCAAACTAACGCAACAATTAACTTTTAAATCGTTCAAAATCTATCGCTATGACAACGTCAACAAACAAATCAAATATCGCTTTAAATAATTCACCGAATCGCTATTCACGAAATCACAAAATCACGAATATCACTAATCACGAATATCACTAATCACGAATATCACTAATCACGAATATCACTAATCACGAATATCACTAATCACAGATTTCTTGCGACGTGCGCTTATATACTCTTCGCAAGCGTCGTTTCTAGATCCTTCTAGTTCTAGATGGTCCGATTCTAGCATACTCTAGAATGCTCCAGTCACTAGAACATTCCAGAATACGCTAGAATCTAGTGCGTTCGGTAGCACGGTTATAACATTACCCCCTTCTTAGTTCTGTTCGTCCCGAACAGCTTTCGTTCCGGTGTCCGCATGGTACGGAGCCAGTCTATCCAAATGAACGATCTTCATTCTTGCTCTCGGCTTCCGATATTCCTGAATACGGTAGACGACGTCATTCAAGCGGGTGATGACTTGATAAGGTCCTTCCCACCCTCGCTGGAGCTTTGGAGAACGTCCTTTTTTTCGCTGTGGGTTGTACAGCCAAACTAACTCGTCGACAGCAAAACCGCCACTGCTTCCTTTCAAGTCGTATCTGGTTTTGGCCGCCTCCGTGTTTTTCATAATTTTAAGGCGTACGTAACGGTGGATTTGGTTTAATCGCTGTCCACGTATTCTGTTAATGGTTGGTGTGGTTCAGGTAGTACGCCATATTTCACATCAGCTGGAGTTCTTAAGGTAGTCCCAAACAGAACTTTTGATGGCATTTCTCCAGTAGTTGTGTGGTTGCCAATCCCAGAAAACTGCGCGATTCATTTTTATCCTTTGGAGTTGGCCAGTCTTTCACAATTTCTATCTTGCCGGGATCGGCTCGAACTCCATCTGAAGATACCACATGTCCCAAATAGTTAACTTCTTTAGAAAATAACCTGCACTTTTTAACGTTCAGCTTTAAATTTGCCACCCGAAGTCTTGTGAAGATCTCCCGTAAGTTTTCGACGTGTTGATCAAATGTTCTTCCTAGAACAATTATGTCGTCTAAATAGACAAGACAAGTTTTCCAGTTAAGACCTTGCAATACACATTCCATCAGTCGCTCGAATGTAGCTGGAGCATTGCACAATCCAAATGGCATGACGGTGAATTGCCACAACCCCGATCCGATAGAAAACGCTGTCTTTTCGCGATCGTTCTTGTCGATTTCTACTTGCCAGTATCCGCTTTTCAAATCAAGCGTAGAGAACCAACTTGAGCCAGATAGGGTGTCCATGATGTCATCAATCCTCGGTAACGGATAGCTGTCCTTTTTAGTCACATCATTTAACTTCCTATAATCAACGCGAAAACGGGTAGTGCCGTCCTTCTTCTTTACCAAAACAACTGGCGAAATCCAGGGACTTGATGACGGTTCGATGACGCCTTGATTTTGCATTGTCGTTATCATTTCGTTTACTTCTGTTTGTTTTGTTAGAGGAAGACGTCGTGGTACTTGTCGGATCGGTTTCGAATCCTGAGTATCAATTCGGTGAGTTACCAGAGCTGTTTTACCTTGGCACAAGAAAGAAAAGAAGGAGGCGGATTGGTTTTCACAGAATCCAAGGCCTGTTTTCACTGGGCCTGTCAGTCAGTCAGTCGGTCGGCTTTCGCACAACCCTGGCCTGTTTTCACTGGGCCGTCGAGTCTGATCGGCTTTCGCACGACCAAGGGCCTGTTTTCACTGGGCCTGTCTGTTAGTCGGTCGGCTTTCGCACAACCCCGGCCTGTTTTCACTGGGCCGTCAAGTCTGGTTGACTTTCGCACAACCAACACAAAACAACAAGAGTCAGAACAACACTGGAAACAAATTGTGTGACTTTAGTACGCGTGCGAAACTATGCTAATGAGCATAGAGTCTCGTACCAAATCCACTTTTGGGAACTTAAGACGTTTCTGAAACTATGCCAATGAGCATAGGATCACGAGTTAAAACTCTTAGGGACCAGAATAGGCACCGATTATTCGAACCTGCCTAACTAGTCAAACCAGTGCGTATTCTTTTCCACACTCTTCCTCCTCCAGAGATGAGATAAAGAAACTCTATATCAAAGCAAAATTAGATTTTGTTTCGGGTGTTTTTAAACATAAAAATTTCCAAGGTATGTCCAATTAATCAAAAAAACTACTAATTAATTTTTAAAATAATTTGTAATAATTTATGACGTCATCTAAATTGCAAAACAAAAAAATCGTCGTCACCTATCGAGTAAATTAACTTGCACCATGCCCCCTATTGAGTGAATAAATTTTGCGTTGAAAACTTTGAAGTATTTTTAGTCAGTATTATTTCATAATTCTGACAATATATATATATATATATATATATATATATATATATATATATACTATATATATATAATATTGTCTATTATATATATATATATATATATATATATACTATAAAAATTTTTTTAACTAAGCATACACCTCTTCTGAGGTCTTTTCGAGAGAGGCGCCATACAAGTTCTGATACTGATATGTATATGATATGATGTATGTATATCTGTGTGTGTGCATATGTGTTGTGTTTGTGTGTGTGTGTGTGTGTGTGCGTGGTGTGTGTGTAAAATATACTATATATATATATACATTAAACTAAGCATTTTTTTGCAGACACGGCATTTCAAATTTTTGACTGCGTTTTTGACGTCGATTCAATTGTTGAAACATTTAACTGATCCCCAAGTTGGCTGTGGTTTCGTGAATGGCTGACGCAACGACAGAGTTTTTATCAAATTATTTTCAATTTTAATTACATACCTTACGTAGAAAGCAATTATGTATCAATAGTAGTTTCATTACGTGAACTTTTGGTCTGATCATTATAAGTTTCGTTTTAATATCTTTCTAACATATAAGCTTGTAGATGATTGATTTATTAATGACTTCATAGGTTGATAATCGGTAAAATACTCGTTAATTTAGTTAAATTAATTTTATGAGTGATCTTCTCATAACATTAGCAAACTGTTTTGCTAAAAAATTTTAATTCATTTAAAAAGATATTTAAATGAATTATTATCTAACATGACTTCATAAGTCAACAAAGATGTTATCTCAGAACCGTGACAAATAGCACCATATAGACTTAACGTCTTGATTGTTCAGGCATTCGATTGAATTCAATTTATTCATTTTATCATTCATTTTTTCAACAACTATGCAATTTATTCCATTTTTAATATAGTTAATTATTTTTAAACAAGATATAAAATAGGCTATCTTTTAAAAATTACTTAACAGCATGGAAAATCGACATCATCATCCTCATCTTCATCCTCATCATCACCATCATCACCATCATCATCCAACTCTCACGAAACGGATGTTGGTCCTTAAGCGTAGAGGCATAAGAATAACAGGGGGAACAATTTGGGTCCCAAAGGCCAACGCGAATATAAACAGAAGGACCGTGGTGACGATGTATGCGAGAAAGAGTTGGACGCTACTCAGCCCTGTTGTGATGTGTTCAGCTTCTGCTTGGTTCATCGCCATCTTCAGTACATTGACCTTCTTACTTACGACCAGAGGTTAGGTCGAATAATTTAGATGTATACATTTAACTTTAATTTGCTTTATTTGGTAAAATTATCACTCTTCAAAAAATTTTGAATCTTTGATTTTAAAAATATGTCTACGCAATAAAATTTATAGTTTGGATTTAAAATTATATTATTTTTTATTTTTTTTTAGCCTATATTATTGCAGCTCGGACATAAGTAGAACCGCTTACAATGTTACAGATAATTTATCTATATATCTTTTTTTATTATGTTCTTCATATCTTCAACCATTGATTTGAAGCAGCCATATTTGCCACAAAGGCTGTTTATCCTTCTCACACGACGTACACATGTATTTATGTGCACGCGCAAGCACCGCTTCATATACGCTGAGTATATGATAGCCATTGAGATGTTTGAATTAGCGAGTATTCAAACCACTGAGCCAACTCGCCGGCCAACATGCGACAACTTACGTCGTCTACCCATTTACCAACCTACAAAGGATGGACGGCTGGGATAATGACCAACTAAATAAATATAATAAAACTATTTAACTTAACGAATTTTATTTTAAAATTTAGATATGCCCGATGCGTTATCAAAACAAGCATCAAGCATTAGCCTCAACGAGACAGTAGATGGCTCGAGCGGAGCAACAAACACCAACAT